AACACTACCGTACTGGTACATTCTGAGTCTATCATGAGTCCATTTCAAACCAAATAATTGACAGATAATGTCATAAAATCCACTGATTTCGCCAGTGCTTTCAAACATGGTTAAAAACAAATTATTCCTGTACCCTAAGTAAATCCAAATTCCAAAATGTCTATTTTGTGACATAAACTTCATTTTGCAAGCTTACTTTGCAGTCCATTTCAGTTTTATCTGGTTTATTAAATTTCTGACTAACCTCTGCTGCTAAGAAGTTATTTATAAGATTATTTATTTACAAGATTCATTGTTATATGAAGAGTCGTGAGAGTTGCAGCTTCTTTTTCGGAATTTGTAACTTCACTTTGGATCACCTGGACTAAACGATCACTCACAACATTAATAAAGCTTCGAGTAGTTTATCAGTGATCCACTGAGCCATAAGACGTTGAAGCAAAAAAAGAGAGGTTAGCCGGCACCCTTATTTCCACCCAGACACGAAAATTAAGTAGCACTGTACCGTTTAACTTTCACGGAATTCAGCCACCTTACGTATGATCCTGCAAGTTCGTTTCAATCAAAAGACGGCTGATATCCGAATCCAGGCTTTGTATTTAAACGTCGAACAACAATTTTTTGCCTCAGGGGTCTGCATACGCCGGGGTCGAGATTTACAGTGACATAACAACGAACGTTATCAGCCAGGGTTCGCCGCATCCGTGCTACGAATGGGACTAGGGACTGAGTTCAAATAAATTCTGAGCCCGTAGCCAACAATGGCGCTGCAAGTGCAATTTTAACCGAGGCTTGAACTTAAGGTGAAACTTGACGAGGATTGCTCTTTCGCTTCCGGTTGCTGTGCGGAAGGCTGCTTCTGAGGTAGCGATTTTGCTTCAGTTTTCGGCTTCTCCGTTTTCGGCTCCGACTCAGCTGTAAACTTCAACATCGATTGCACGGTTGACGACGGTGGATAACGCGGCCTCGTGAACGACTGAATGTAGTCGGTGATCGTCGTCGTGATCGTGCGCAGAGACGGAATGTCTCGCATCGTTGAATCTAAATGTGGCCGAAACCAAACGACG